ACAGCTGTGGTGAACCGTGCAGTGGGGAGCTAGCAACAGGCTCTGTACTTGGAAGTGAGGCACTCCACGGGGTGTTGCGGTGCATGCTTGGAATCCCAGCGTGCTGGAGGCTGAGGCAGGAAGATCACCATGAATTTGAGGCCAGCCTGGGCTGTACAGTGAGTTCAAGCCCAACTTGAACTGCACAGAGACCTTTTCTCAAAAAGCAAAACAAATTTCAAAATGAAATAAAGTAACAAGCTCCTATTTGCCTCTTAGGAAGAGTCCCTAGCTGTGAAACTAGGGACTGGAACCTGGGAGCCTCACATGCAGGCCCGTTAGAACCATCAGAGAAGACATTAGGGGTTCAGATAGCTCGTGGCTGTGCAAAGAGAGAGAAGAGCTAGGAGCCCTGGAGAGTTATGGACGGAGATGTCCTAAGGCGTAGTACTTGGGGAAAGGGAGGTGTTTTTGCTGCCTGCATCCCTGAAGGTGAAGGAGTATCCCCAGCCGTCCGGCCTGCCTTCTTCCCAGTGTCTTGGGTGACTTCTTTGCTTCTGTGCTTCCACCCCTGTAATGACTGTCAGGGTCTGTTACTAAGAGCAGTGTCTTCTTCGCCCCTTCCACCCGCACTGTCCAGCCCTCCTCACCTGCCGCCCTCTGCTGCACCACTGCACAGAATCTGGCCCCTCAGGGCTTCCTGGTGACCACCTCACCTCCACACCTGTGGCTTCTTGAACCTCAGAATCAGAATTGCTTCAAGGGCCTGGGAACCTGCAGGTGGCTACACCTCACCCCTAGAGATTTACCCAGTAGGTTCCCAAGGAGCCTGCTTGTGCTGCAGACCCACGGGTAGTGCCCTGAGAGCCGCAGATGTTCGAGGTCAAGCTTAACATCAGGGTCCCTCCAGTCTGGCTAAGCTCAGCTTTCTAACTTCATCTAACAGACCTGCCAGCTTGCTCTTTCCTGACTGCAGGGCACAGAGAAGTGGTCACCTGGGGTCTTCCTGTGTGGGTGCCCTCTCACTCTTTCTTCTCTACCTGCTATTTGTTTCTTAGAATCTAACTCAGAGGTCATGGCTTTTGAAATATCCCTTCTAGCATAGTAAAAATTGATTGTACTTCTTTTAAAAAGATTAATCACATTTTTCTTCAGTGATTCATTTATTAACTTGTTTAGCTATTACTGGGTCAGAGTCCTTGACCTTTAGATCCCTAGAATTTTTGCAAGAAGACCTTTAAAAATTTATATTCAGTGGAAGGCAGCAGTTACTGCAGTTAGGGAATCCTTTATCAATGGAATAAATGTGTTTTGCATTAGAAGAGCGCACACAGAATGGGACTGGAGAGTGGTAGGTTGGCTGCTAAAGCTTTCGCTGAGTTCCTCCATCCTCCTGTCTTCCTGTTTGTGTCAGCCTGTCCTGGCTTCTAGCCCCAAGCCTCCCTTGTACTGCTAAACACAGAGCCAAGCCGTGATCTGAAGCCTGGGTAGGAAACAGCCCTGCTGCAGAAAGCAAGGGCCATTCCTGCAAACAATGCGAGCAGCCCGAGCAGGCCGGCCGAGCTGTAGGCAGTTAGGGCATCGCCTGCCGGCTTCTCTGACCCTTCTTTGTGCCTCTTGCTGGATTCTGTCTTCCTCCTGCTGATTCACTGTCGGGGATTAACCAAGCTTCAGTTCTGAGCGCCTTCACTTTCACCTCTGCATTTACTGCCTAAGCCCATACATTGAAGCAATGAAGTCCAGGGTTTCTCGAGCTTTGAGGCACATCTGAGTCCCTGAGGGTCTTGTTGAAGTGCAGATTCTGCCTTAGTGGGCCTGAGAGCCTGAATTTCTTACCTACTCACAGCTGGTTCCCTGCTGATGATCTATGGCAGCAGGCAGCAACAGTTAGAAGTGCCGCGACCAGTTTCGTATCCTCCCCCACCCCCATCTTGGGCTTTGAACTTGCGACCAGGCACAGAAACCCAAATGGAAAGAGAATGGTTAAAATTCGCTCAGCATTTATTATACGCCAGGCTTCGTGCTATGCTTCCGCTACACTATTGCTTTTAATCCGCAGAGCACTCCTGATGAGCCGGGGACTGCTCTTACTGCTGTTATCGCATGCATTTTGCAAATGGAACTTTACCTTTGGTCCTTGAGCTGGCTGCGCTCACCAACTGTACAGTGAGGTGGGGCACCCGGACCGCACTGCCCGGGGCAGTCCTGTGGCAGCGCACATGGGTGACTCCTCATTAGCCGCAGCGCCTCAGGTCTCCTGTGGCTCCAGGAATGGTCTCCCCTGTCCTTGCCACATGGGAGGAAATTCAGAGCAGGATCAGAGTTGACCTCTTGCCCACCTGTCAGGCATGCACCACATTTAAAAAGTGCCTCTTTTTCAAGCTTCTCAACACTTCACAATATTTTGACATGGCAAGGGGAAAAAAATGGAAATGCTTTGAAACATTTCTCATCCTTGAATTTTCATCCTCAGACCATGTGACTGAATTGAAGTTGACTCATAGGATTCCAGTTTAACATATGCAGTTACTATAGCAATTGAGGTTTCCTTAGTAACAGTTGCAAAAATAATCTGGCCCCAATTAATAATACATTTTAAAGCTCTTTCTACTCTACACTGAACAACCCAGTTTTTTTGGCCAAGAACCAGATAATTCAGGTGGTGTCATTTGCGCTGATAGAGATATCATTTGCATGTGGTGAATTGGGTTGCAAGGGGGTGAGAAGAGAGCGGTGGTTTCGAGTGTGATAGGAATCCACTGCAGGAAAGTTGAGTGCCGCTAATGCCAGCCCCGTCTTCAGGGCTTGTGAGCTTCAGGGCCGACCCTGCCTGGGTTCCCAGTGTGCCCTGGAGCAGTGTCTGCCTTTGGAAAAGGGAGAAGGGAGAAGGTGGGGCTTGTTAACAAAAAAGATGGCAATGGGTTAGGCTTTCTCTTCTTCTGGTGTGTGGTGTGTTCTCCCTGCTGGGAGTCTGTTAGTGTGTGAGCTGGGCTGTCCTGCCTGAGGAGAAAGCCTCACTTCACACCTGGAACTGTGTCCTCAGCTGGTCTGTTAGTGTGTGAGCTGGGCTGTCCTGCCTGAGGAGAAAGCCTCACTTCACACCTGGAGCTGCGTCCTCAGCAGGTCTGTTAGTGTGTGAGCTGGGCTGTTCTGCCTGAGGAGAAAGCCTCACTTCACACCTGGAGCTGTGTCCCCAGAGGGTCTTTAGTAATGGCTCTGGGTTTGTGAGCTTCCAGAGCTCACAACCACGCAGGAGCTCTGAGTATGCAGTACAGGGGAGGCTGAGTTGCATCCTGTGGGTTTCACCAGTTTGGATTCCTTGACATCTGGGGTTCAGTCCTTTGCATGTGCAGAGCTGGCTGGCCAGGGATTCAGGGATGCCAGCAGTCAGCTCTGCCCCTCCTGTGTCCGAGTGCAGTTCTATTCCTACAGCTAGGCTGGTTTTGAAGAAACCAGAGCCTGGGGGCCGGGGAGATGGCTCAATAGAATAAGCGCTTCCCTGGCAAGTGCAAGGGCATGAGTTCAATCCCTGGTTCCGGAAAAAAAAAAAAAAAAAAAAAAAAAAAAACCACGGAAGAAACCAGAGCCTTCCCTGCAGGGTGCTGGAGGCCAGCTGGGGCAAACGTGCCTGCTAATGCAGGAAGCCTGGGTAGCTTGCCATGTGTGGGGTCTATCCCTTGCCTTGGGTTTTTCTCTCAGCTGGCAAGTGGTTAAAACTTGAAGCAAAGAGAAGAGTGGGGGTAGGATGATGTTTTCACTAGTGGTGCCCTCTGAGAAACTTACATTTTTGTATTTTTCCTTTTTTCCTTTATTTTTAGAAGTGGGGAGGAGGGTAGATAGGGGAAATCAGAGCCAAGAATAATAATGATGGAGTGGATAGGTTCTCAGATTACATCAATAAGATTCAGTTTATTAGGCCTTGGCTCCTTGCCACCTTCAAGGTGAACAGGTTGGTGATTGGCAGGTAGGGTGTCACCCAGCGTCTGCACTCATGCTGGAGAGGGGACAGAGCCTGAATTGGCTTTGTTCGGTCACGTGGCTCATCGCCCTCTCCTTAGCCTCCCTCTTGTCCTGGAGTTCAGCCTCAGCCTCTTCTACACCTGCTGCCGTATCTTATGGCATATCTCGGCCCTTGCTCCCTCACAGAGTCAGACAGCCTGGGCTCTGGGAGTGCGCTCCGTGAGGCAAGCTTGGCACTTGGCAGACTGCAGGAGGCAGTGTGGGCCCTGGAAATAGGGTTGGTAGGTGGAATCTGCTTGATCCCTGCCTTCAGCACCTCATGGTCTAGGCAAGAAGAGGGACAGGAGGAAAAATGGGCTGTGGTCACTGGTCATCAGAGGGTGTTGAGGAAGCCCACCTCATCCTATGGGGCTTGGAGGAGGAGGGAGGCAAGGAGGAGTGAAGAAGGGTCAGGGTGGGAGGTGGCAGAGGAAATGGGCAGGGGCACAGCAGGGCAGAGGCCTTGCTCAGGGGGAACTGCCCTGGGCCAACTGTGGGATGTGAGTGGGTGGGGCCAGGCCCTGAAGGGCCTTTCTTCTTGGTGTTGTTTGAGTCATGGTCCTCGCAGCTATGTAGTTCAGACTGGTCTCTGATTCGCTGTGTTGCCCACACTGTTCCTCTTGTCTCAGCTTCCCAAGTGCTGGGCCACAGGCATGCATGACCATTCCTGGCCTGGTGGGCCTTTTGACTGGGAAAAGAAATTTTTTTCCTCTAGAACCTGTAGATAGTTGGGAGCTGTTGAATATTTTATGCAGGGACAGGATGTGGGCAGGCCTTGGTGGCTGGGAATGAGGCAGGGGACAGGGAGAGATGGGTAGGGCCTGTCCTGGGAGTGGCAAGCAAGTGGCAGATGGAAGGGAATCCTTACACCAAACCATGTTTTGGAGGAAGCCTGTTAATGGCAAGTCCCGTAGGAGTGGTGCTGGGCCAGTCGGGCTCCAAGCCCAGAAGTGAGGTTGGAAGGGGCTGCATCTCCAGGAGTGTGTAGCTGTCCTTCTGAGCCATTTCCCATCCTTTCACAGTGACAAAACTGCAGGTGAGCAAGTCAAAGAGGACCCTCACCCTGGTAGAGAACAGGCCCATTCAACTGAACTGCTCCGTCAAGTCCCAGACCAGCCAGAACTCACACTTCGCCGTGCTCTGGTACGTGCACAAGCCCTCTGACGCCGATGGCAAGCTCATCCTCAAAACCACGCACAGCTCCACTTTTGAGTACGGCACCTACACTGAGGAGGAGGGCCTGCGGCCCCGGCTGCAGTTCGAGCGGCATGTGGCTGGGGGCCTGTTCAGCCTCACAGTCCAGAGAGCCGAAGTCAGTGACAGTGGCAGCTACTACTGCCATGTGGAGGAGTGGCTGCTGAGCCCCAACTACGCCTGGTATAAGTTGGCAGAGGAGGTCTCAGGCCGCACGGAAGTCACTGTGAAGCAACCAGGTAAGGACAGAGGGTGCAGCCATCTGGGGCCGGGGGCTTCCTGTAGAGACTTGTGGGCTGGGCTGGTTCTATGTGGCCCACTAGAGGACCCAAATGCAAGGGGCGTCATCCAGGTGCCTGTGGGATCCTTCTCCACAGGGTCCTCATGTGTATGCACGCTCCCAGGGACACTGTCCACCCCAGGAATCCTCACAGGCAGCTGTGCTTGGCAAAATGTGATGATGTGGGAGTCCTTGGTAACTCCTAGTGCTTTTTCTGGGCTTGCGGTTTGTACCCTGAATCTCAGCCTGGCACCTGCTGTGCACCCAGCTTCCTGCCTAGAAGCCTTTGCAAGTTCTGGCTGTCTTCCCCTCATCCTCAGCCTTGCTGAGCTTCCTGTCCCCAGGAAGGTCTCGGTGGGGAGCTCTCAGCAGGGCCTCTGCGCTCTGGGAGTAGGTCCAGGAGGATGGACTGATTACCCCCACAATCCGTAGTGTAGCAGCCCTGTCCCCTCACAGGTGGTAGATCTGCCCCTAGCACAGTCCAGGAGAACCTCAGTCATTTCCTTGTAGCCACTCGCAGGTGGTGCCCTCTCTCAGTCTCTCTGCCTCTTCCTTAAGAGCTCAGCTCCTCCCAGGCGGTGAGGCCACGGAGGCCCCCTCCATCCCTGCTCCCCACATGCTGCGCTTCTGCATCCTGGAGCTCTGAGGGGTCCGGGCTCTGTGGCCCCAACGCCTGTCTCCATGCCTTCCTGTGTGCCCCCTGCCCGCAGCTCAGCTCTCCTGCCCCTTCAGTACCACACTCAGAAGCTCACTCCAGCACTCCCAGACATCCGCCCTGTATCACAAGCGGACCTGTACAGAATGCAGTAATTACCCATTTCTTCTGCACCGCACTGTAGGCCCTGTAAGAACAGGGCTGAGCCCAAGTCTTCAGCCCTGGGCATGGCACGCCCAGTAAGTCCTGGCTGAGCAGGGATGAGGGCTTTGCTGAATACCGCGGAGCTTTGTGCACGCTGTTGTCCCAGCCTGGAGCGTGCTGGCCGTACTTACCTCCCTCCTCCCCTGAAGGGTATTTCTAGCTCATCTGAACTGCAGCGGTACCCTGCTGCCTCTGTCTTCCCTTCCCCACACCCTTCAAAGTCGCTATCAGCACCTGGCATTTTTTCATTTACTTACTCCTGTCAGTAATTCTGAAGCACTTATTCATGTTTGTTCTTAGCATCACTTAGCGGCTAGTATATTATTCATTATTTCAGCATCCAGATACAAGAGAGATTTGTTGTCCGCCTCTTCCATGAGAATTAAACTCCCCGAATGACCCCAAGGACTTGAGTTTCTTCCCCACTGTGAGCCTCCCATGGAGCCTCATAAACATTTATCCAGGAGACCACTAGGACCAGGTACAGGTTCCGGGTGTGGCCCCGTTTGTGCTGGGTGCCAGGAGACCTTCCTGTGCTGTTCCAGAGGCCAGCACATATGCTGGGACACTCACAGGTAACACAGTGACATTTTCTGCCTTCCCTGCCCTGCCGTGGAGCAGCCTCTGCCAGTGTCTCAGTGACCCCCATCCTGACTGCTGCTCCATCCCTGGGGCTTTGAAAACCGAGAGCCACCACCTTCTCCAGGGTCCTATTCTCTCTGCTTTCAGTTCCCTTTTCTGGAGAGTGCCATCCCCACCCGTCTGTCTCTTCTGTGACATCCCCATCCATTTCCTTTCTTCATTTGCTCTGAAACCAAGATTCCCTTGGTGGGTCCTAAGTTTATAAGGAGATCTTCCCCTCTATGGCTGCAGTCAAGCTAAGTGAGATAGTTCAGAAAGATGGGAAGAAGTCCGTGTGGGGGGGCGCACACCCGTGCAGAAGGCCCTGAAAACAGGAGGACCGCTATGGGTCCAAGCTGCGTGGCGAGACCTTGTACCAAATACATTTTTAAAAAAGAGAGATGGTCAGAGTCCTGTAAACACACTCATTGGCAGCTGTGTTACAGTGAATCGTAACACTATAAACAGAAAAATCAGAACGCGCTGATTAAAACAGCCTCCCCCTTTTCAACTGAGCTCTTTGGTTCATTCTGGTTTTCTTCATTTTTTAAAAACCATTTCCAATGATGAGAAAACATGTACTTACACAAACCAAGCAAAGGAAAAGAACTGCAGAATAATGGTCCTGCAACCCGGAGATAACCAGGGATCACGTCCTCTCATATGTGTGCTCAGGAGTGGTTGGTTACTTAAAATATATGTTCTGAGGTGGTTTATCTTTTCATTGCAACAGCAATCTTGAGAAAAAGATTCAGCAGATACAAAAATGTGGAAAGTAAAAAGTACAAACACCCCTGCTTCTCCTTTGTGGTGTGGATGTCAGTGTCACCCAGGACGTTTTCCCTGAGGTGCTTTTGTGTGTTTACAGTGTCATGGCTTTTAGATGCCTAGGGCCAGACAGGCTCCAGAGGGTTCCTTATGACATCACAGGGTGCCATCAGGGCGTGCCGTGGTCGGGAGAATCTTGTGAGTTGTCCCGGCATCTGGCTTCCTCAATGTCAGTCTTTCCTTTAGGATACCAGGTCAGTCCGCTGCCTGCCTTGGGAGGGAAGCAGCCCAGGACACAGCGATGAGCAAGTGAACTCAGGTTCCTCGGCAGCTAGGTTTTCTCTTGCCAGCTCTGCCCCACTTGCCCCGTTCCCCAGCCGGTGCTTCATGATCTGTCGCATCTGACAGAGTGCAGCTTTCTCTAGCTGGTGTTCCTCCATGAGGGTGGTGGCCTGGGGAAAGCAGCTACTGTCCCATGGGCTCCCTGAAGCCCTGTGCTCACACACAGGGCCCAGGGTGCAGTGTGCGCAGGGCTGCAGCTGAGTGGTCACGGTGTCTGCTCCTCTGGCCTTTGCTGCCCCTATACTTGGAAGGTGCCCATTCACCTCCCCCCAGAAAGGTCCATGCGACCCACTGTGTGCACCTCATGACATCTCTCCTCGCCCTTCCAGACAGCCGCCTGAAGCTCAGCCAAGCCCAGGGGAACCTGTCCGTTCTGGAGACCCGGCAGGTGCAGCTGGAGTGTGTGGTCCTGAACCGCACCAGCGCGGCCTCGCAGCTCGTGGTGGAATGGTTCGTGTGGAAGCCCAACCAGCCAGAGCGCGAGACGGTGGCGCGCCTGAGCCGCGAGGCCACCTTCCACTATGGCGAGCAGGCCGCCAAGAACCACCTGCAGGGGCGGCTGCACCTGGAGAGCCCCTCGCCCGGCGTGTACCGGCTCTTCATCCAGAACGTGGCAGTGCAGGACAGTGGCACCTACAGCTGCCGCGTGGAGGAGTGGCTGCCCAGCCCCAGTGGCATGTGGTATAAGCGGGCAGAGGACACCGCCGGGCAGACCTCGGTGACAGTCATGCGACCGGGTGAGGCACAATTCCCCATCCTCTTCCTTTGGCGTTTCCGCCTTAATATGTGTTGAGTAAAATCAGTTTATTTTTTGCAGTTAAATCTGTATGTTAACATTTTATAGGTATATTCAAATAATCTCAGGGGTTTTTTTGTTTGTTTTTGTTTTTCCTCTGAGAATGAAAGACTGTCCATCTAGCCTTGGCCAAAACGACTAGATTTTTTAATTAGAATAATTAATTATTCTAGAGGACAAAATGCTTTCTTTTTAAAGACTAGATTCAGATGAGTAGTTGATACGAGAAAGAAAAGTCTTGAAGTGATAGCCACGTGGTTCAAAAAGTCGAGCTAGTGAAATTTCCGAGGAAAAGGGTTGATTCTTTAAATAGGAGGAGTTAAGTACCTGTCGCCTCTCCTGTCTCCTCCTAATAATTTTATCAGTGCTAATGACTATTGGGTGTGGCCTTTCGCTTTCCCTGTCTGTGGTGCTGCTTCAGAAGTCCCTAAGTGGGTATGATTACTGGTATAATTGTTGTCACACATTTAAACGCAAGCTACTAAGATGTGCAAAGTCTAACCAGCAGTCCCCCCAAGATGCGGAGCACGGCTTTGCTGCTTCCTTGGGTGTGAATGCTTTGTTGCGTTCTGAGTGCCACACCGTGGCTGGCAGTGCTACAGGTTTTCAGCATGTGTCACGCCTTGGTCAAGCCGCTCTGTTCATTGAGGGCACGGGGAGCATCAGGATCACCCTGGGCCCCCCGTGTGTCACGGAGCATCCATCCCACAGCATGCCTCAGGGAGCAGGGCATCCCCTGAGCGCTCGGGGCTCTCACTTGGCTGTGGCTTACTGCAGCTGACGGGGAAGTCACCTGCACTTGGAGCTATTCACAGCTTCCTGGTGAGAGACTTCTGCTTGTCTTTTCCTGAAGGGGAAGCTGTAGGGAGTGGCAGCTGGATGCGCTCCTCTGATTCTCACCCATTTTGCAGATCACCAGACTGAGGCCCTTGGTGGGAGGAGACAGCTGGCTGTGGATGCCAGCTGCAGCCCTGGGGCCATTAGGAGATTCATGTTCAGTCCTCCTAGCAATCCCGATCTGTGAATTGTACTAACAGGGGCAGCAAAGCTACAGGGAAGTGCCAGCAGCCAGGAAGAGCAGGGAGCACGGCCTCCCGCTTTGCATGTGAGCGAGGTGTTCTTACAAGACAAAAAGCAAAGGGAGAGGAGGCAGGGAGGTGACCTGCAGGAGTGGAATAGTTAGTGGTCTGACCTATCTGGCCACCTTGCCACAAAGGGCTCCCTCAGCTGTCACCCAGCACCGTGTAGGAGCGTGGGAGTGCTGTCAGGCTGCGGGCACAAGGTCTCGGGGGCACAGGTCTCTGGAGGTTCTGGCTTTATGCTTCAGCTGTGCTCTAGGGAAAGACAACCTCATGGGTTTGGAGAGTGTGCATCACTGTGGCTGGCTCGCTCTCCTCTGTCCCGCCATTTGCTGTCCTGCAGCCTTCCCTGATAGTGCTGCTAGTGCTTTCTTTACACTTTGGCTGGTACCAGGCCACTGGGCCTTCCTCTTCCTACAGTGCACAGTGGGATGCCAGCTGGGCCAGCCCAGAGGGGGTTGGGGCATGGGGGACTTGGCAGAGCCCCACAGAAGTCGTAGGAGCCTTGGGTTGGTGTCCACCTGAGAGGACGTTGAGCCGGTCTGTCCCAAGCCCAGGACGGCACTTGGGAACTGCACCTGGTGGCCTCCATCCGATAGAGTCTGAGTTAGCATGTCTGCTTCTGTATGACATCAGCATGTCACATGAACATTCCCTAGACAGAGCCAAGGGGAAGCCTTTAGGAGCGAGCAAAAGAGTTGTTTGTTCAGAACCTTCCTCAGTGAGCCAAATAAGAGCAGAGGGAAAGGCAGCAGAAGACCTGGGGTGTGAGGCTGTCTGGTGGCGACCGTGAGCTGTTCCTCCTCGTGGGGTCCCTCCCGTGATGGTTCTGCGCCTCCCGCCTAAACTGGGGCCAGATGTCCATGCACACCCTCTTGGGAAGAGGGAGAGGTGCCTTGGGGCCTGTTGTCCATCCTTTGGCTTCAATCTTTGGGTGCAGTGTTTACTTCTTTGGGTTCACTGTGGCTTAGGCAGTGAACTGTGTGTGCACAATTTAAATGTAACAACAGCTCCTGAGCAGATATATTCACTTCCTAGGGTTCCTGTAACAAACTGCCATCTACTTGGTAGCATAAAACAAATGAAATATATTCACTCACAGTTGTGGAGGCCGGCGGTGCAGTGAGGGCAGCCTCGCCACTGTGCTCCTAAGGTTGGGGACAAGCTTCCTCGTACTCTTCCTGTTCCTGGTGCCCGGGCGTCCTGGGCTGTGCTGCCCTTGGGACGCCAGCTCTCCCTGTGTGTGTGGCTGGCAGTGCCCTGCAGCGTGGACAGCGCCAACAGCTCCGGATGCTAGGACCCAGGTCAGGGGCCAGCGTGGCGGTGTCCCGGGGATGCCCTCTTTCCAGCTGGTAGAGGGTGCCTTCTCACGGTGTCGTGCCATAGCCTCGCAGGTGAGTGTCTCAGGAGAGGGAGACGGAGTTCTTTGGCTTCTGAGGAGGCCGCCATTCCTACTAGCTTCGGGACTGACCCTTATGGCTTCATTTTACTGATACGACCTTCTGAAATTCCTCCCAGCATGATCACATCAGGATCTGAAACACTACCAAGAGTTTCAGATTCCTTTGCTTGGGTTTTCATGGCTTCCACATGTAAATGGGTTGGACAGGGGCATAGTTCAGTCCCTAGCACCAGTCATTGGATTGAGAGTCTACCCTAATCAGTATGACCTTATCTAGATAATTCATCTGTAAAGAATCCCTTTCCAAATATGATTGCCTCCTGCGAGTCTAAGTGGACAAGCATTCAGAAGAGATACTGCTCAGCCACCGCAAGTGGTCCTCAGCATAAGTGACCTTCCTCCCTGGAGTCTGACAAAGGGCCACGTTACCAGCTTCTTCTGAATTCTTCCATGGGGATTTTCTTCAAATCTAAACAGATATGCATGTCAGAATGAAGCATGTTCTGGATTCTTAAGTTTTTCCAGAACCTCTTTTCACATTTCTGCGCATAGCTCGGCCCATTTGCCTTTCCGATAGGGCAGCAGTAGCCAGCCTGTGCCGTGTGTGTCACAGTGGATGTTATCAATGAAAGCTCTAAAAGGTTCGTCATCTCCACAGAAGAGGCCTAGAGTCTTGTGCAGAGTGGCATGAAATGTACCGTAGTTAGCAGCAGGCATTTAATTTGTTTCTCCCTTACTTGCACCTTGTCTTTCCCAGATGCTGCCCTCCAGGTGGACACTGTGGTCCCCAACGCCACTGTCTCTGAGAAGGCAGCCTTTCAGCTAGACTGCAGCATCGTGTCCCGCTCGAGCCAGGACTCGCGCTTTGCTGTGGCCTGGTATTCCCTGAGGACTAAAGCCGGAGGGAAAAGGGGCAGCCTTGGTGTGGAAGAGCAAGAGGAGGAAAAAGAGGAAGAGGAGGAAGAGGAAGAGGAGGAGGACCCAACAGAGCGGACAGTCCTGCTGAGCGTGGGCCCGGATGCCGTCTTCGGCCCAGAGGGCCATCCCTGGGAAGGCAGGCTCCGCTTCCAGAGGCTCTCGCCTCTGCTCTACCGGCTCACGGTGCTGCAGGCAAGCCCCCATGACACGGGCAACTACTCCTGCCACGTGGAAGAGTGGCTGCCAAGCCCCCAGAAGGAGTGGTACCGGCTGACAGAGGAGGAGTCTGCCCCCATCGGCATCCGCGTCCTGGACACAAGTGAGTTTCCTGATTACAAAGGAAGGATGTATCTGGAGGATCATGCAGAGCTTGATGCAATAAGTTAATGAGCACTTTTCTTAATGGTCATGAGCATTTATTAGGAATGTCTGAGGCGAGGCAGGATTTCACACACTTACCCCTCGATTGCTCATGCAAAAAGGAGGGGAGGGTTAGAAAGCAATCTACGCCACATCATCTGTGTGGTGCCCTGATGTTCCTCCACTACGGTTTTGTGGTTTGAGTGCCTTGTTAGATGTTACTTTGCTACATTTCAGAATAGGGAACCTAGTTTCTCTTTACTAAACTACCAAGTGTTTCAGATTCCTTTTCTTGGGTTCTCAGGTCATTTTAACTTCGGAGGATGCCTGGGTGGTATAGCTAGATTTTGCATGGGAGTGGGGAGGACCAGTCTAGGTGGGCAGTAACGTTAGCAGCAGGAGAGGCCACAGTGCAGTGCTCACAGGCGCGGGCGACTTGCACGTGAAGGGAGACCGGAGGGAACACCTGCTGGCCTGAAGTATGCGTTCTAACAAGGCGCTCTGTGATTGTACCCCTGTCAAAATGTGGAATATATCACACTGAAAATAGTGTTTACCACTATAGAATTAGCCTATATTACAGATATAAAAAATTTACTGGAACTTTTATCTTCCTCTTGAGTCAGACCATTTGCCCCCTGATCTTGCTCACGTCTTACGAGCTCCTGCTCTGCTTTCATTGCCTCCTGTGAACATCCTAATAAATGCTTCTGAGACTTCATAGGTCAGAAGCAGATGACTGTCAGCAGTTTCTTGTACTTGGCAATCCAGGAAGTATGAATGTGTGTTAACTAAGAAAAGAACAATACTGAAGAGTAACAGCTCTGCAGTGGAAGGAAAAGGAGAAGAGTCTAAGTCATGCATAGGCTGCAGAACGAATATTCAGTCTACTGAATAACTCAGTGTCCCAAAGTAAAAGAGAGAGGTGCAGGCCCTGGGGTATCTACCTCTTTGGGCTTCTAGGGTTACTGAACTCTGCAGAGACTAGGAATCACCCAGCAGCCTTAGTCTACAGAGAAAGTGTGGCTTCGAGAGGCCGGGCCCCTCCACCCCCTGCTGAGGTCTGATGACCTACTGAGCACCCCTCACCCTGGGGAGGGCATCTGGATTTGTTCTCCTCTGCATCCCGCTACAGGGATAGGGATAGGGGCACAGTGTGCCTGCGCTCTGTGCAGCCGCAGAGCCGCTGACCACGGAGAGTGATCTGTGACGACGTTGTGATTGACAATGTCAAATGAGCGAACATGGTTTCTGGTATCCCTGCTCTGGGAACCAGAAGGGAATTTGGATTTCCTAAGAAGGACGTTTGGAGTAGACTGAAGTACAACAGGATGCGTAAACTAGCCACAGAGGAGGTTGGATGGAGTGTAGGCCAGCCTCCTCGCTGCCCCAGGCACCGTGGAGTTTGCAGCGTCTAAGCTCCCCTTTCTTGTGTGGCTTTCCAAGCAGAAGCAATGAATGGCTGTGGAAATGCAGGCAGCGCATTGCTTGGGCTTAACGGCTGACCGGGGAGAGGTGTTGATGTAAGAAAAGGAACACAGAGGTAGTCTCCTCACTGTTAGCGGTAGCAGGGAAAAGGCAGGGGTGTGTGTGTGTGTGTGTGTGTGTGTGTGTGTGTGTGTGTGGCCATCAGGCCAGGTCTCCAATAACGGGTATGGACAGTGCTACGCACAGTCCTCACTGCCCTGACTGCCCTGTTCTCCACAGGCTCCACCCTGCAGTCGCTCATCTGCTCCAACGACGCCCTCTTCTACTTTGTCTTCTTCTACCCTTTCCCCATCTTTGGGATCCTCATCATCACCATCCTGCTGGTGCGCTTCAAAAGCCGGAACTCCAGCAAGAACTCCGACGGCAAGAACGGGGTGCCCCTGCTATGGATCAAAGAGCCACACCTCAACTACTCGCCCACCTGCTTGGAGCCCCCCGTGCTCAGCATCCACCCAGGAGCCATAGACTAGGGGAGCCCAGCCCACATTGGCATTGGCGGAGCCGAGACGCTCCCTTGCTGCCTCTTGCTCTGTGATTGGACGGTCGACAGCACCTACAGGTTCAGACGTCCATCCGTGCAGAAAACTGTCCGACTGGGAGAGTCGGCACCACGTCGGGCTGCTCCAGGTGGCGGCCGCGGTTGGTTAGCTCCTTGCGCCCAAACGTCATGATCCTGCCGTCGTAGGTTCCTAGTTTTTGGTTCTGGTAATGTAGTGAGTAGTTCCAGGTGCCGCATCTACTCACCGGTTATCTAGTATTCTCAGATAGATGTCACGAGGGTTTTACTCTTCGTAACGTACCCTTTCCAAATCCCTGTGGTTTACCCCTGTAGGATTCCATCTTGTGGACGAGCCTCACCCACTTCCGGCTGATGGCAAGAGGAAGGACAAGACGTGATAGTAACAAAGAGTGTCTTTCAAGACTTTGTTTTTGCACATTTGAAAATGCCACCCATGGATCAAAATGCACCCAAACTTTTTTTTTTTTTTTTTTACTTTCTTAACAAGACTTGAAAAATGTGTGTAGCGTGGGCCCAATTTGTATCTTATCTTTTCCCTCAGCTGGAGTTGCTGGAACACTTTGTAGTCAAGATGAAAGCATTGAATTTTGCTTCAAAGAACTGCGTATGTGCAAGAGAAATCCTGCCTAACCTCATTAGGATAGATAGTGCCCGGCCAGCGTGTCTGTCAGGGAGGGGAGAAGGCTTCATCCAGTCTTTGCCAAAAAAAGAGAGAAGACCGTGTTACACAGTGGGTCCCGAGCTCTGGATAGCACATACTTCTGAGCTAACGCGGGCAGAGGGTTGCTGCTAGCAGCTCTGACTGATCGCAGTGATAGTGAAGTGAGCTCCAGGAGGCTGGCCCTGGCCGGGTCTGTTCTCAGGGACAGTCCCTAGCAGGTGACACTGAGCAGAGCTTTCTGGAGTGCTCTGTCCCACTCGGTGGAGGTGTCCAGGGAGCCTGGACTGAGCGTGGGGTGGAGGCGGGCCCGATGGGGACCCGGTGCAGGGCGCTGGGTCCCACGCCGTGAGCAGGACAGTGAGGGTTGGGCAGGGCTCTCCAGCAGCAGTGGTCTAAGCCTGGAGGAGTAGCTGCCTTCTTGGAGGCATGAACAGGCTCTCCTTGCTCCTCCCAGAGATTTCTCTGAGATATGTTGATGTCTTCCATCTTCCCCATTTACCTCTTGTGCATCTCGCTGCCATAAGCGTATCCGCTGGGGAGGTCTAGACTCACCTGTGGGCCTTTCCCTTTCCCAGCTGTCAGCAGATAGCAAGCACATTTGCTATCCATGGGCTTTTCCCCCTTTCCTTTCTCCGATCATGTTATGGTTTTAGGCTATCTGATTACTATTCTGATATCTAATGTTATTGTCTAAGGGTCAGAGGCCCCACACTGTTGGTCAGATACTTAGCTCCCCTGGGGCATCACTGGTTGCAGATACTTCCTCTGGGACCCTCTGGGAAGATGTGTTATGCCCTCACTTCCTTATATCTCGCTGGCCAAGTATTGTCTCTCCTGCCCCCATAGAACCAACACCTTGAATCCCAAGAGGGATTTGGAAAGAGCCAGCAATGATTGTGGAACCAGGGCTAACAAGAGACATTGATATGAAGCTGGGTCCCCAGATGAACTGCTCCAAAGGAGGCAGTGGGGCCCATGGGGGTGGATGTGTGGCAGAGTGGACAGTGGGTGTTCTGCTGAGCCACAGCGCTAAAGGCTGCGTGGCTACTGAGCTGCTCTGACGGGCTTACCCGGGCAGGCTCTCTCTCCCTCCCAGTGCTCCGGGACTCTCCTGAGAGACGCTGCAGGCACTGCCACCCTAATCCTCCTGGTGCCTGCCATGCAGATTTTCATTTCCAATGCTGCATCAACACGTTAGAGGTCCTGAATTGGCTCAGTCATGAAGAAAGAATGTCTTTTGCCCGTTTCTTCATTTCAGGAGGTGTGTTTACAATGGGAATTTGCCGACTCCTGAATTTTAGGCTGAGTCAACAAGAGAAGCGACTGACTTGTCCTCCATCTGAATGGGCGGATGCCAGAGGGGTGGTTGGGACTGAGATTTCAGTTTGAATTGGTTCGTAGCACTAAAACAATAGGTGCTGCACATAATTACATATATGAAGCAATTGCAGGATTTGAAGAGAGAATAGAAACCGAAGCCAGTATTTTAATAATTGCTTTTTCTGTGTATTTTCTGCCCGGCTGGGGGAGTACCATCAAAGCTTGAGCTGTTTGAGCTTTCTATGGGAAACCCCAGGACCTTTTCTTTGGCCATTTCTATGGAAATGTGGCTGAATGGTAATGGTGCCCTCCAGCGGTCGTGAGGCCTCATTGCACATGGTCTACTGGAGCTTCCGTGTTCGCATTCGAGGAAACCTACCGGATACTCTTGACACTGTCTGCGCAATACTGCATTTATGAAAAACTACACCGTGCTAGGTGTGCCCTAGGACACGGACGCGACCACGCCCTCTTCCATCAGGGTCTTTCTGTAGCAAGTTTTCATATTCTTTTCAAACAATGGTTTCTCTGCGTTAATTGTTTGGAAAAAAAAAAAGATCGGGTGAGAAAACCACCCATGCATGGTGTAGAGAGCTGTTGTTGTTTTTGTTTTTTAAAGGAAAAACTATTTGTAAGATGCTGCACTAAAACGTTTTATATACACTTGAGAGACCTGTAGTAAATTATGTTGACAATATGGCTGTTTTCATTTTCTGTACTTGGTTTCTTCCTTGCCCTCACTTATCCAGACCCTTGCCCTGCAGTTCTGCGCTTGGCGTCGGCCTGCTGGGCGTGCTGGGTTGCAGCCTTTCTATCATGCCCCAACGTGCTGCCTGCAGGGCATTGGTGTAGGACTGTTCAAACCCAGCCCCAACCCGTTCCTTCAAGAGACTTTGCTGCCATCTGCTGAACCATCTCGTAAAAAGCATCCGCCCCTGCATGCGCGAACAGACTGGAGAGGCCCTGCTGCCTGTAGACCTCACCCACAGACGGTCAGAACTGTGTCTAACCCTGAGGGCTTTGCTAATTTTACCTTATGGTGGGGAGGATGCAAAGCCAGGGACTGATAGAAAGGGAGGCCGATCGGGCTGGCCTGCTAGGCTACCAGGGCTCTGCCACCTCAGCCTGAAACACACTGTGATCCTAGGTAAGGGAGACTGAGAAGCCTGCCCATCTCTGTTCCCTGCTCGGCTCTGATGCCGGGACATGGTTGAAAAGAGTGTCTCATGAACAAAGCTAGGCATGATGCGGGGTCAGAATCTCCCTGTGATCCTTTATTTCTTGGTACAGAGATCTTCCTGTCATAGCCTCCTCAGTGCTGAGGGGCCAGCCCAGCATGTGGTGTGGTACTGGGGATCGAACCCAGGTTCTTGTGCTTGCCAGGCAGATGCTTAGACTGCCGAACTATCTCCCCAGCCCCACCCCCTGTGATTCTTTCAAATTCATAGACCATGCAGAGGAACCAGGCGGCAGGTAAAGAGAAGAGGCGGAGGCGGTACTTCCCTTCCCTGAGTCCAAGAGGGCTTAGCGCGGGCTCCTCGCTGCTCCTCAGCCCTATTTGTTGTGTCCTTATCAACTGCTTGCAGCTGCTGGCTGGGCTGTGAGTTTAAAATGTGACTGTTTGTCCCTTGGGTGCCCACAATGGTTCATGTTAAATCTTAGGTATTATTTTTGCCTGATTCCTTTTCCTCCAAATGGTCTTTCTCTGCCAGGAACTAAATTTTTAGAAAGAGCACAATGGAAAAAGATTGCCCCTGTTTGCCCTCTGTGGAAGCCTACCTGGTGATTGTGCACATTAAGTGAATGCGTGCCTCTCTGCGAGGGGCACAGTGACAGCGGCAGCTTGTGCAGCTGCAGGGCGACGGGCAGTGTCCTGATTGTGCTGTCCTGGCAGCCCTATACTTCCTATTCCAAGGGTTTGGAAGAAACTGGAGCAAATCTCAGGGGCAGCAGGCAAGTGCCACCCCTGGATGGGGTGCTGCCCCACCCCTGCCTTCTCTTCCATGATTAGGGTAATGAGAAGAGAAGTATGGCCTCAGCAGTCATGGAACGAAGAATACATGTAGCGATCCTTTCAGGGACAGCTTCTTAGTATGTGCAGGGAGCCGCTCCGGCTGGCTGCCAAACACGTTACACGCGCAGTCTTTCTGGAGCACTTTGATTCATAAAGTCAGCAAGACCAGGCATGGGCGTGCTTCTAAAGTGCCTGACGGGAGCACGGTGTCTCTCTCAGTGGAAGAGCTGGCTCGTGAGTCCCAGGAGTGCCTGACCGAGGAAGGTCTGCTGAAGCACTCCTCACCCTGGGCCTGGAGACCAGGACCCGGGGGCTTCCCCTGGCCCGGCAACTGGGTAATCATCTCCTCCGCCCCCGCTTCCAGGGTGTCGACGGCTCTTGCTGGTCAGTCCACATGTGGCATGGGTGTCCACGTCCCTGTCCCACAGCCCGGGCTGTGTAGGCTTTGGACTTGAGTTGGGTTGGGTGCTCAGTTCTACCCTGCCAAATCATACATACCTTCTCCAAGTCGCTGCTTCCATGTCTGTGAAAATGGGGGCCTCAGTAAGATTAATCCAGGCGATGCCTGTGACACGGGCGTGGTGTCTGAGGAGTGAAAAGCCTCTCTGGTCCTGTGGGGCCTGTAGGTCTGACGTGTCCTCCCTCCTGTGTCTGTGGCCTGCATTCCTGCAGGTCCAAGGCAGAGGACAAACTTGATGACTTCGCTTTGTATGCTCCACCTTGCATCTGCCTTGGGTCTCAACATGTAGATGACAAGGGATGTCTTTGGGTAGTAGGCTTCCTGGGACAAGATGTTGGTTTCAGAAATTTCACCAGTAGAGAGACTTTTGAGGAATTTCCACTTCAGAACTAGTTCGTGAGTTCGTACGGTAGAGTTGAAGCCCTCTGAGTGCCTGCGTTCCCCACTAGAGCGTGATAAAGCCTACAGCGATAAATAAGCATGTGGCCCTTTCATTTCGCAGCTTCCAACACGCTTTGGTGTTTGTTCGGGTGGTGGAGTCCCACAGGCTCACATAATAAGAGCAGCTCCGCCCTCTGGACGCGCCACGCTGATCCTGGAGGAGCAGTCTGACCTGGGATCTGGTGGATTTGAGGGAGAGGAGGCCAAGTGTGGGCTGGAGAGATGTGGGGGAGGGGCAGAGTCTAAGGGAGGTAATGGAGGAAGAGAGGGCTAGAAAGGAAACAAGGAGAGATCAAGGCTGGAGATGCCAGCGCCTGGCTCAGGGACTACAGGAGACGTAGGGCTCCCCTAGCACAGAAATGCCAGTGCTTAACACGTACAGTGGGGGAAAGGGCTGCCAGAGGGATGCACTTGTGACCCACCCTGCCACACCTCCTGTCACTTGTCTGAACTGTCCCCTTCTTTGTGCCTATTCTCCAGCTGAAAAACTTGCAGGAAAGGCCAGTGCCAATGGGCCTGATCTGCTGCTACTCTGCGGAGTGAAGCCCTTCAGCCCTGTCCTACCTTCACCTCAGGCGCTAGCTGTATGGGGTGCAGCTCGCACCCTGACCCTCCAGCTCAGCATTGTCTCCACCAGGACTCCAGGGCTAAGCCAAAGCGCTGGAGGTACAGGAGGCCTGAAGATCCCCAGCCTGGCCTGTTCATTAAAATGCAAGCTGCTGGGCAAAGGGAACTATACCATGCCCAGGGGAAGGGGAAGGATGCTCTTGAGTGGGGCGGGGCTGAGCAGGGCCTTGTGTGCACCAGGGTGGGGACAGGCAGACCCCAGGAGGAGGCCGTGAGGTGGCTTATGGACCACAGGTCCTCGGTGCTGTTACTGGCTTGGGTGAGTGATGGCCGGGGAAGCCCTGGGGCAGGGCTGAGCTGCCTTCTGCTGCAGGCTCCAGGGCTCCAACCAGGCTACTGCGGGTTCTAGCTGGGAGCACATCAGCAAAGCGGTCATGTCATCGTGGGCTCCTTCCTGCGGTCCTTAGGAAACCTTGGCCTTTGCCTGCTGGCTAATGGTGGCCACTGCTTTGCAAGGCAGCTTGCCTTCCCTTTGCTTGCGTTCCAGATTCTTGAGTTGCCGCATCTAAGTGATTAGGATGTTAACTGCTAAGGCATCCTTCTTCAGTATCACCAGAGCCCAGCATCTGGTGACTTTCAGTTTTGTGCCATGCCCCTCCTTGTTTAGGTCAGGAGATCAGTTAACACCAAGCATGTGCATTGCTGTGAGTTTTAGCTTGTGGAAGAGTAAAGTGTCTAAGGAACCACAGGCACTAGCCCTAGAAAGTCCGGGTACATGGCAATGAGCCCACAGGGAAGGGGAAAAACCAGACACACCCCTGGGTGACTGTGGTCTTCCTGTCATTGCCTCCCTGTCCCTGTACTCCCCACCTGCGAAAGCCCCTCGTAGCTGGGAGCTCCCGAAGGTGGAGCTTGAAGGATAACCCTTGCATCTTCTTAGGGCCGGCTGCTGAAGACTGGTTTTGTCCTTGTCTCCTGAGTATTGGCTTTCAAGTGTAGTGCAGTCAGATCTCTGTCCAACAGCAGGTCCTGTTAGGGGTGGGGGGCGTCCCGTGCCGTCTGGGGGTTTCTTCCCTCTGCAGATCCTTCTTAGACCATCCCCCGATGGCTGCCCTGCAGCTAGCCCACTCGGTGTCCTTCCAGAGGGCTGTGATTTTCCTGCCTTTCAAGGTCTTCTTGCCAGGCACTTAAGTGGATCTTGGAACCACTTCTGCAGCCCTCATTTCACCTAGGCTCGGCTCCCTCTTCGTGCCACTCTGCCCCTCCTTCCTTGGGTGCTCATTCACAGCTTCTCAGAGCAGCAGGAAGGGGCAAAAGGAAAGGCACAGAAGCGTCTGAGAAGCCAGTGGCCCACATGACCTGACCACTGTTCTCTTCCCCTCCCCTAAAACATCAGAGAGCATCTAGAGCTGTGTTCATCCATTTAGCACTGTCTCCACCTACATCATCGCAATGCCCCAGAGGAGGTGACGTCATCTCCACCCCCCTCCAGGGCAAGTCGCTGTCAGATCCTTAGAGCCCGCCCCTTGCCAGCTCCTCACTTTTCTCTGAGCCGTCCCCGCTATGGCCCCTTTTGCTCCCGACTGTCATGTCCATTTTGTTCAGTGTGTCCTGTGCGTCAGTGGGGTACAGGCATCCTGTAGCCATCCTGGAGGGAAGACACTGGCAGGTGCTGCGAATCAGCTGCACGATCAGGTAGCAAAGCACGGATTGTGGATGTGCAGAGGGGAAAGCGACAGCTTTTGTGAAATCAAGAATCTTGCGAAGCAGTGACTTTATGGAAGAAAAAGCATTTGAACCCAGCCTTCCAGGATAGTAGTACCTAGACAGACAACCATGAGAGGAGCAGATGAGGCAAGCAAGGGGTGCGGGAGTGTGCGTTTTTGCCTACTGACTCACCTAGAAGTTGCAGACCTTGCGAGATCTTAACTCCAAATCAACATGTGAGTCTGAGTACAAGAGCATCCTCCCACAGGCCACAGAGTCACTGTCACAGTCGGGAAAATACAGTTGTTCCTTAGAATCCATAGGAGGTTGGCTCCCGGCTTCTTGCACGGACACCAGTATCTGCAGATGTTCGGGCCCCTTGCAAGAAATGCTGTGTTTGCCTGTAACTTTCACAGCCTCTCATTTAAATCATCTCTAAATTGCTTGTAATACTTAGCACAATACAAAGGTCGGGTAAATAGTTGTTATACTGCATTGTGTAGGGAATCAGGACCAAAGAAGTTTTCCTACTTGTTCAGTACAGATGCAGAGTTTTTTCCCCAATTATTTTCAATTCAGGACCAGATGTGGAACCCACGGAAGTGGAAGGTTGACTGCAGGCACTGATCCAACAGCTTTCCTGGCAGAGTCCAGAACCAGCACTGCCTGGATCACACACTGTATTGCGTAGTCGTGACTAATGCCTTTTTTTTTTTTTTTCTTTAGAAATCCAGTTAACTTGGAGTTTGTTTAAACTAAGAGGAAAAGGTCATCATGTTTTCATGCAATTCATACTTGGTTCTTTAACAATTGTGACAAGGAGCAGAAAGAACTAAGGAATGTTGCACTTGTGATCCATACAAAACACCAACATTTTAGGTTGTACATAATTAAAGAAATACCTCACTTTTGAAATACTGTGATGGCCAATACATAGAGGCATGCCTTCGGTGGGCAGAGGAATGCAGCTTAGAAAATAACAACCAAAAAAATCAAACTGGAAGTATACAATTTCTTTAAAATCACTGAGCAAGAGAAGCAACATTGAACTTTCATACTGATTTTACACAACTTCTATACAGTACCTTGACTTCAATCCGAGAGCAAAAAGTGAAGACTTTCCTCCTCTATTTTTGGTAAACAACTGTATGGTAAACTTAGATGACATCCCCCTGGTTTTTACTTGGGAGTGGCCTTTTTAATGTTTTATTTAAAAGAGGGCAGGTTTGGCACTTTTATACTGATGTCCCCAGTGTTAATACTTCTCGGGATCTCAGGAAGATTCATATTCTTTACAGCGGATACAGCACGGGCTGGAGCTCCTGCTAAGCCAGCCTCAGATTTCTCCAGTTTATTTTGTGCATCAATTTGTGTAACAATTTCATTCATAGTGGTCTCCAATACCATTCCCCCTGTCACCATTTCTGTAAGAATATTGTGAACCTTGTCTACATGGAAAATTAAATCCAGTTCACAGACATTTTCTTTTTTTCTTTTTCTTTTTTCTTTTCTTTTTTTTTTTTTTTTTTGCGGAACCGGATCACAGACATTTTCAAAACATTTGTCTAATGTTTCCACAAATACTTGAATTAGATCTAAAATGCCAAGTTCACTTTCTGGAGAATCCACCCAGAAGACAACATACAGTGTCGCATAATGTCTATAAATCAGTTTGTTGTCAGATCCTCCAATTAATAATCCTCCTTCTAGGAAATTACAAACATTTTCATCTGTCTTAGATACCAAGTGGAAAGTCTCCCTGATGGTTTGCTGTTGTGTATCTTCACTGTAGGACTGGTAGAACTTGGAGAGCTGCGGCTTCCCGTGGTTGTTGCGTGGCTGGGCCGACCGGGTGGGCGTTGGGAGCCGGGGCGGGGGCATGCACGCGAGCCTTCCCCACCCGCCCCCTCCCGCGTGCACTAAGGCCTTTTAGAAACTAAAGCTGTGGCAGTTCCCTGGCCCCCCTACCCTGTGCCCTGCCCTGCAGTCCCCTCCCCTCCTGTCTACTCCCCTCCCCTCCCCTCCCCTCTATTGTTTTTCTCCCTTGCTTTTTCGGTACTTCAGCACCTCAGCCACTATGATTGATGAGTCTGGCCAGCTACAGAATGACCCTTGACTTGTGTTGTCTGATTTCTTCCTCATAATCAGACCCTGGTTCTAGCTCTGGGCAGAATGTCGCACCGTTCTCAGGGTGACCGCCCCAGGAGGCAGGTGTGGTCAGCTGGCTTCATAATTTGAGATGTTAACTTGGACTGTTTGCTTGGGGTGGAGTCCAGTAGATTTTTCCATTTTAAGGATTGTAGCAGCATATTTTTTAGGGGGTGGTACTGGGCTCTATCTCCAGCCCTTTTTGATTTTGTTTTTATTTTGAGACAGGGCCAATGCCAGACTGCCCCGGCTAGACTAGAGCTTGCTGTCCTCCACCCCAGGACTGGAACCATCAAGGCCCTGGTTCCTTTAGCAGGTGATGGGGTATAGACGTTAGGGTCGGGGTGCAAGATGTGCTTAAGGCACCTGGGCTCATTTTTTCCCACCCTGCTAGTTTTCAGAGCTAAGCAACAGAAATTTTACCAAGTCATGAGTTCATCCTGACCCTGTGGCTAGCACAACGGCTCAGTTCTCCGGCCTCTCTATTCTACACTCGTGTTTCCTTTTTCCTGTGGGAAGACTCTATTCTTAGTAGTATCAATATTTTTTTAAGCCGGCCAAATAGCTCAGCACATTAAAGCACCTGCTTAGGCAGAGTGCAGCAGCCGGGTTCGATCCGGGGCTTGTCCTGGGCTTGCAGTGCCAGCCCCGCCCCTGGGGCGCACTGAGACTGAGACCAGGCATGATGGCTCGTGCCTGTAATCCCAGCTCTTTGGGAGGCTGAACACAGGCAGATCACTACTACCTCATCTA